AATACCATGGAGTCATAATAAATATGGTTTATGTCTATGTTTAAATTATTAAACAAAAGCAATAAACACATCCATATCCCTAACCCCTCCTCCTCCTTCAGCCTGGATAACTCCTAAAGTTTGTGTTTTATTCAAAGGTGTATGTATCCCTAAGAGGCGCACATAACAGATGCTCAATAAATGTCAATTTAAAAAGAAAAAAAGCAATAACAAGGACAGAGGGTGTAGTATGATCCCACTTAGAAAAAAAATGCGTTGAAAGCACACACATTTCCATGTGTATGCAAAGAAAAAAGTCTCATTTATACCACAAAATGTTAATCATGGTTAACTAAGTGCAGAAATCGGAAATGACCTGTTTTTGCTTCCCTCCTTCCAACTTCTTTTATTGAAAAATAAACTTTTTAAGCAAGTAAACTAAAAGAGGAACACATTTCAATCCCAGCATCAGTTCTGTCATTTCACTGCTACATTTTGCATTTGCTATAATTATGTATCAGAAGCTTCTAGGGAAAAAACTGGCCTAGGCAGATCATCAGTATTACTCTATTTTAGAGGACACTGAAAATGGTATGGTCACACTTTAAAAGTTTATCCAAATTTGTAACAGTCCTCAGTTTAATCAGTGGAGTACAACAGATAATGGTTACAATTCCCCAAGTGGGCAAATACAAAGCTATATTGTTTTTGCTATTCAATTGAACACACTGATCAACGAATACAGCAATTGAGCAAAACCTAACCTATTCCATATAAGCAGCATTTATGATTTATCACCAATCTCTATTCATTCCCTGTGACTTTGTTTTTCTTTTATACCACCTCCCCCCAGCAGGGCCATGGCAGCCATCAGGTTTTCAGAGTTGCTGAAATTGCTTTCAAAATAGCAATAAAGCTGTTTACCCAACAGGGGAAGCCTCCAACACCAACACTCACATTATTATAAATAACCCTACTTGCAAAAGTACTCTCCAGGGCCGGCCAAGTGGCACGTTGGTTAAGAGTTGGCTTGGGATGCCAGCTCTGAGCAGAAGGGCCCTGGTTCGGATCCCACATGAGGGCCAGTGATGCTGCACCTTCTACAGTTAAGATGGTGAACAACAGCTCGACCTGGAGCTGGGCTGCCGTGAGTCCCCGGAGATGGCGTAGGCTGCAGCCCCTGCTGCAGTGGGTTGCCTGGCAGCTGGCATGCACTTTCGTGAGCTGCCGAGAGACGCTCTGAGCGGCCATGGCCAGCGAGTGACTGCCTCACCCGGGAAGAGCACAATGTTAATACCAACATGGGCCAGTGAAGCGACGTCCTCCACAATTAGACTGAAGAACAAAAGGACAGCAACTTGTCTGTTCCCCTTTCCCAACTCCCCAATAAAACGTTACCAAAAAAAAAAAAGTACTCTCCAGCTGCAAATGGTAAGACCAGGTTATTTGTGGGGCTCTTGGAAGCTGTAAGCAGGTGGGAGAAAGCCTTATGTAATAAGACTAAAAAAGGGGATCAACCTGACCACCCAATGCAAATTTTTCTGAGGTCTGGTGGCCCTCCCTAGCAGCTGTCTTGGAGATAAATGGGGCTCTGAGAAGTTAAATACCTAGAATAATCCTCATATGCAGGAACATACACCATGCACAAGTATCCACACTGGGAATAGAGTGAACTGCTGATGGACTATCATGACTTCAAAGGGAAAGATGACCTGCAAATGGACCCCTGCAATGCCGAGCTGCTGAGATACCACATACAGTTGCTGAAGACTGCACCACAAAGCTTCTGAGAATGTAAATTTCCTTTGGTTGTCTTCACACCACAGTAACACTCTCTGTCCAAATTTTCCCAAAATAACCAAACACAAAAGCAGTCCTGAGTTGCACAGCTCTCTTCTTATAGTCCAGGATCCAGTCTATATATAAATGTCAGAGATGACTAACTCCTTCCCCTAAATGCCAGCAGTTTTGCTTCTTCACACATCACCAACTCTGTCCTACTCAGATCGTCCTATTTATTTATTTAGATAAATTTTTACAGATGAACAGGAGGCAGTTAGGAGTAGCGTGAGATATAAAGGTTCATTTTGAGGAGAAAAGTGCACTGTAACTTCTCACCAAATATACCACATATCAGTTAAAAGAGTCACATGGGTAATTAAGCATGCTCTCACGTGAGAGCAGAGTTGAATGACGTGAACACAGACATCTCTAGACAGTTCAACATTAGATTTGATGCAAACGCTGCTAGCAACCTAAATTCATTCTCAAACTGCTTTCAAGCGTGCTCATCAAGACACATCCTTCCCCTCAACCTCGAAAAAACAACAAACAAAACCAGTGCCTGCATACACAGATAAGGTCCTTGGAACATCCAAACCAATTACTAGAGGCACCCAACCAATACAGACACATCCTGTTTTCCCCCATCCCCCATCCCCTCACCCTTCTGGCTTTGCCAATGATTTGGGTCTGCTGAGCAGCAGTACTGAAAAGGGGTTCCAGGGATGAAGTTAACTACCTACTACCATCTCTTTCCTACAAGTCTTCATTTTAATATGAATAAAAGGACTCACTATGGTTACTCCTGGTGAATAAAATGTACAGGACTCTCACTTTTTACTGCATTAATTTTTAGTACAGTTTGTATGTTAAAAGAATTGAGGTACATAATTCAGTGAATGTACTATAAATCATTAAACTGTATACTTTAAAATGGGTGAATTATATAGTATGTCAGCTACAATATATCTCAACATGCCTATTCCTAAAGAGCAGGGGCTGATTATTTACAGGGGATATTGAGAAAATTAAAAATATATACTGAAGATACTGGAATTGGAGGTATCAATATGAGCTCATTGTTTTTAATACATACACACAGAAATATAGATTTGTATGTGAATGTAATGTACACATACATATATTTCTTAGCTCTGTATCCTGAGTGGGCCTAGAAGCAGTAGGCAAACCTAATGCCCAGACCTCGGCAAATCTAAATACCCTTCCCCTTCATTTAGGGCAACTCTAAAGCCCTAAATGAAACCAGGGCTTCTTGGAGAAATGGTTGACTCCTGGGGTGGAGTAGGCAAAACACAGGATGAGCCTAGAGCAGTGGTTCTCAACCTTCCTAATGCCGCGACCCCTTAATACAGTTCCTCATGCTGTGGTGACCCCCAACCATAAAAGTATTTTTGTTGCTACTCTATAGCTGTAATTTTGCTACTGTTATGAATCGTAATGTAAATATCTTTTTGTTTTCCGATGGTCTTAGGCGACCCCTGTNAGAGCTTGACCAGTTTGACCACTGACTGGAGAACCAATTTAACTACAGAAGACAAGTGTTAAGAAGGGGTATTATTTCTCTCCACTAGAAGAATGAAATGACATTCTGTCAGTGTGTGTCTGTCCAGACACAGATTTTCTGTAATTGGTCATTTCTTCCCTAAGGCCTTAGGATTTAGGATGGCCTTCTTGGGAGACCTGCTGACAGCATCCTTGCATAACAATTTTTTTAATATCCTCAACTTTAGAGGCTGGTTGTTAACACCATACTTCCTTGCAAAAAATATCTTTATTCTTCTCCCAGATTAATTTTAATTTAGAAGATACAAGTAATTGTAAACTTTGAAAGGAGAAAGGGAAAATAAAATTACTTTAAAATCGTGGTGAGATTTGGAGAAAAATGCTACTTTCTCTCCTAACAGAAAAAAAACACTTGACTTTTTCCATCCATTCTTTTACCTCTTTGACTACAGTGTGCCAATGCTGGTGATTCTCGCACACCTCCATCCGCTCCTTGTGGAAAAACTGGCACTTTTCTGGAACTAGCAGAACGTCACTTACAAATTCACCCACTGGAAAAGAGAAGCTTTGTCAGAAGCAAATCTGATTCACGGTGAAAACAACCCTCACTGGAGATTATGACAGTTGCAGTCAGGTGTAGACAGGTGCAGCATCTGTCATCTGCAAAGGCCAATTGGATGTTACAGCTACAGGCACGCAGTCACAAGAACTTACCTTTCCGCTCCAGTCAGTATGCGTTTCCTCACTCTTCCCTGGCCCCCCTTACAGTCCTGCTGAGGGCTACAGCAACACAGGACGGGGGAGTAGGAATAGGATCGCCCCTCCATGACCTCATAAACACACACAGGTACTCTTCCCCCACCTCTGACTTCACATGCGATAATCCTGGCCTCTTCCGTATCTATTTCTGCCCATAGTGGTGCTAATAGCAAAATTCCCAGCAAACTAAGAATGGTATTCTCCTAAGCTACAGACGAAGCTTACTTTAGCCCTTTGTGTACCTAAGGGCACCTAGCTCTAAGACCAACCATCATTGAAGTAACAGAATCAGGTAAGAATCATCAATGGAGACCTAATTACAAAAGGTGATTTGGCAATGGAAAACTCTGGTGGACACTACCATAACCTGGTGACCAGCTTTATATCAGCCATCATGGACAAGATGACATATGAGATGTCCTAAGAACATATTACCTACAGAGTCTTTCTGCCAAAATATGTCAAATCATGATTAACACAATAAGACAAATTCAAATTCAGGGATATTCTCTTTAAAAAAATCCTAGACTCTTAAAAAATATCATTGTCATAAAGATTTTAAAAAAATAAGCCTTTGGAACTGTTCTAGATCAAACATAATGTGTGATCCCTTTTAAAACAAAGCTGTAAAGGACATTCTTTGGACATTTAGGGAAATTGTTCAAAGTATGATTGTGATTACTGTATCATAATTATAGGAGAAACAAGCTGTAGTATCTGAAGGTGAACTATCGTGATGTCTCAACTTACTTTCAAATAGTTCAACAACAAAAAGTATATAAGACATGTACACACATATACATAGTGAGATAGATAAATAAGGCAAAATTGGAGAACCTACATAAAGGGTATAGAGGTATTCACTACTACATTTTTTCTATAGGTCTAAAACTTTAAAAATAAAAAGCTGGAGGAAAAATACACGTAGCTGTTTAGAAAACAGAATCCTTCTCTTTTAAAAAGTATTTACAGGCAAAAAAAAATGGTATCTGATTTGTTTGCAGGTATATCAATTAGGGGTAGGTGGGAGGGGGACCACAGATATAGAGTAGGAGTGGCTCATGAATTAATGAGTTATATACCTGGGCTGGGCAACAGGGACATGAGGGTTAATGTGTTTGGATATGCCTGTAACTTCCATATGAAAGGCTAATAATTATCACCAGATTATCACCCAGAGATTCTGATTCAGTAGGTCTAAGCTGGGACACATTACTTTGCACTGAGCAAGCAAACATCCCAGGCGATTCTGATGCGTCACCAATATGCTCCCACAGGTTGCACGTGGGAGGAAAACCATGAACGAGAGACGTGTGCTTAGCTCAGATTGTTTTATCTTTTCAGCATGCTCAAAACACTTCAAAATTAAAAGTTTAAAATGAAAACTTTTTTAAATGTCAGAAATTTAATAATTAACTCCATGATTAACTATAAAATTCAATGCCACCAATCTTTAGCTATTCCATGTCTGATTTGATCTGTCTGACCTCTGAAAACCACAAAAGAATTTAGACCACTGAATTTGAAAATAAACTATAAAAATAGAAAAACAAGAGTATTCTGATTCAATTAATTCTAACTATAAACATGTATTCTAAGAAAATAAGCAAGTGNATATCTGGCTGCTTCCTACATTTAAACAGAATCTCAACAGCCAATTTTCAGATTAACTGAATTAAAATACATAGCTTCACAAACCACATTTCACATGATACTCCAAAGTTCAGCTGGGAGAATTTCAAAGCAAGGAAGTCCATCGTGACACTAGCACGTCGCCACCGGCATTGCACACCTGCAGCATAAAGGCTTATATGTTGGATACAGAGTCTTTGGTTCACATCACTAGGCTCGATACAGATAATGCCAAACACGAGCTGCCTCCATCCGCTGGGAACAAAGCGGGGGGTGGGGGGGAGTAGGCCTAGAGGTTTGGTTCTGAAGACACGATGGGCTCAGACCTAGAACCATGTCCCCCTGCCTGTACATGTGAAAACAACCGGCTCATTTGCCCATTTCTGTCTCTTTCAAGGAGGGACACCAACGTGACCACCGGAACAGTGATGCTTCTGGGCTTTCAAAGCACTCCAGCCAGGGGCCCCACAAGTACATGAACACATGCTGCTCCTTGGCACGTCTCCCCTACCATAAATAATAGGAAACTACAATTTTGCGGACTTTGTTAATGCTCTGAAGAACTGCCATTCCATAGTGTGTTATGGCACCACCTCTCTGATCCTTTGGGAAAAGCGCCATCTGCATACTCAGCAAGATCTTGATCCGTGATTCCTTAGGCTTCAACACAAAACAATGCCTTGTTGCCTCTTAGATTAAGTAATTTTATAAAGCAGGAAATAGCACAATAATTTCTGTCTCTACATCTTTCCTTAATAAAAGAGTTTGTCAAAGTTCCCTAAGGACTCGTTTTTTTCCCACCTTTTAGTTGTCTCAAATAAAAACAGCCTTTTTTCACAAAGCAGCAGCCGGAGTGGAAGCGCTAAAAGTACACCATATTATATTAAGAATTAAGATTTAAAAAAATATTTTGGAGGGAAGAAGGAGGAAACCATGAAGGCGTCTGAATGAAAACACATCAGAAGCTACAGCCAAACACCAGGAACAGGCAGCAGCTCAGTGCTCTAATGCATTTCAGAATAAGAACCATGAAAAGACTGCCTGGCTTGAAGATTTTCCAAACACATGGGTTTAGTGCTTGCAAGGGAAGAGAAAGAGGGCCTTAAAAAGAAAACGGGGTAACAATGAAGAAAGCAAAACTTTTCCTATCTAAGTAAACCCAACACAACTGACACACTGAGTTTCCTTTGTGACCAAAGAACACATAAACTAAAATTCCTTCACTACCTAAAGCTCTGCATGAACCAGTGTTGCCAAAATATTGGAGAAACAGGCTTCTCCAATACTACCACTTAGCTACTGAGCTCTCTCTCTCCCTAGAGAGCATAAAGCAAAATATTTCAGTATTTTGGACTCCCAAAAATATCCCCATGGTCACTGCTTTGGAGAGCAGGCAACATGGGGGTCAGAGACAGGGTAGTTCAAAGTCAAGAATGAGAAGGAAAGCCCGGAAACGAGCAGGTACAGAACTCATGGACAACCTGGTTACCGTTTCGTGCCTTTCAACTAGAGACAACCAAGGCACGGCTGCCTTCCCAAACAACACGAAGCGCTCTGGGAGCCTGCAGGCGACACGGTGGGATGAGAAAGAACAAGCCTCTGTGCACTCGGGGGTACCAGGGAGGGAACACACTACTGCCACCGCCACCACCAGACCCACAGTGAGCACGGGACATGGAAAGCTGAGCTTACAACTACCCACGGGAAAGCAAGTCTAGATCTAGAAAGCACAAGATGAGGGAAAAACGACTGACGGCAAACACCTGAGTGGGCAGGGAGCACTACACAGACGCAGTCACGAGGACGGCTGGGAAAGACAGAACGCTGGACAGGACGATCTGCTGCACAGAGCCAGCGTGGTGGGACTTACTCATCGTTTTACACACAGCCATACAATAATCCTCAGACTCAAAATTGTTCCTGTTGCCTCCGCAGCCGCCATATATAAAGCGCACGCACTTTCCCTTGGAGAGGTCGAAGTACCAACGGGGCATCACGGCCCGGCAGGGCCCCGTCATCGCCTCCTGGGAGCAGACAGCTGTGTGGAAACGGTCAGAATGTCAGCAGGACAGAGGTAGCAGCTTCAAACGTTTCACAACGCTACAGACCGCAAGGGCTGGGCCGGGTGAGGAGGATGGACCGGGTGGCACTTAACATCAGTGACGGCTAAGTTTAGACCGAACTTGATGGCCCTGGCTGACGGTCTCACCAGCTCAAGCCAGTCATCTCTGACAATGCAGTCCTTTTCCATTCGGAGGCAATATAGACATTTATGAACTGAAAAAAACTTTTGTGCTGTCTTGAGTCTAGATTGATGTATAGGTCGACATAGAGAATTTCCTTATCTCATAGTTCTGTAAGCCCCACATTTCTGATCTGTTAGATGGAGATATGCGCCTGATTTGTCTGTCTCGGTGGGGTCAAGGCCCAAAGGAGAAAAGGCAGGTGAACAGGCTGTGTTAGTGGTGACGACCATAGTAACCACTACTTAAGCACCTGGAAAGGATGAATGCACATTTTTAAGTCCTCCAAGGTGAATCATAAACTTCTAGACTCATTAAGTAATTTCTTCCTAGTTGGTCCTAAATAATTCCTCAGATCTTAATTGGCTTCAAATATACAATCAGCAGGAGGCTCTGTGTAAATGGTTCTGGAACTGTTACAACTTTTCTTAAAATGCGCAAGATGAAAACACTGCGGGTCCCAATTCCTTACCAAAAGGCCATGAAATTCCACCCTCCCAGTTACAAACATCTTTCTAATGGATAAACAGGGCAGCCTACAAANAAAAAAAAAAAAGAAAAAAGAAAAAACGAATGTATGTGTGCGTGTTGTGGGGGTGGGGGAGATGATAAGATAAATTTTACCATTATTGGGATGCCAAGTGGCTCAGTTGGTTAACAGCGCAAGCTCTGAGAAACATGGTCACTGGTTCGATTCCCACATGGCCCAGTGAGCTGCGACAGAACTTAACAAGGTTGCCAGTTTGACTCCCGTATGGGATGCCACAACTAGATTGAAAGCGCAACTGGACTTGGAGGTAAGCTAGCTGCACCCTCCACAACTAAGATTGAAGGACAACAACTTGGCTGTTCCCCTTCCCCAGTGCCCCGATAAAATCTTAAAAAAAATTTTTTTTTTTACCATTATTAATCAAATGTCAACAATTAGAAAATCCGAAATCTGAGGAAAGGGTATACAAAAGCTCTTTGCACATTTTTGCAACTGTTCTGTAAACCTGAAGTTATTTTAAAATTAGTACTTCTAATTTATAAAGGCAAAAGTAACTCTAAAAGACCATCACCAAAAGGCTTTCTAAGGAATCTAAGAAAGGTAAAAAAAGGTGCTTACTGATTATTAACCAATGTCAGTTCTACCTGGGTATGCTAGGGGGAGGTGGGATGAGGACAGCAGGGGACATTAAAATCTTCTACTCCTTAAATGATGACAAGGAAGAATTAGCAATATTTCTTTCCTACAACCTCCCTTAAACTCCAGTCAGCTGGTCCCTCAAGCTTAGGCTCAGGCAAACTGTATTCATTTAAAAACACAGTTTTTAGGGTAGCTCTACTCACTGGTTAAGAAATTGTTCAAATGGATGCTGGTGTAAACACAATACTCTGCATTAAGTAACATCCAAGACTATATAATGCTTTCATTATTCAGTGAACACAATGCAAAAAAGGTATTGGATGGTTTATGGTCAAACTGTCTTTTATGCATTTAGTTAATAACAATATCATTTCATTGTTTTTTTCTGTAACATGCTGATAAATTCAAACTATAGCATTTGGAGAATAAAATAAAATAGAATTTTTGTTATGTACTAGCTATGGCTGTGGTCTTGTCTTGTAATTGTCATAAAGGGTATATCCTATGTTCCAGGCACCGTGGCAGTGCTGAGCGGAAAAAAGACTAAAGTAGGGTCCTTGTTATCAAGGTGTTTACAACACAATTGGAGAAAGATAAACAGACATCATTGTACCATAATAGGCTTAATGGCAACAACAAGGAGAATTTCAGAAATCTAGGTATCTAGATAGAAAAACAACCAGGAGGGAAGCTTCCTTTACAGGTGGCGTCCCCTGAGATAAGTCTTATAGGGAGAACTTCCCAAACAAAGTAAGTAGAGGAAAGTCATTCTAAACAATGAGGACTGCATGGTAAGTTGCCAGGAGACATGAGAGATGTTGATGAAGTCTAAAGCACAGAGGGGAGGGTGTGGGGGACTAAGTAGAGCTAAGCAAGGATGAAATGGCGTTTTTAACCCATGCTAAGGAGCTTAATTAAACAAACACTACTTTTTAGGTGAAGAAGACCTACCAAAGGGTTTTATGTGCAGGAGAGACAGTTCAAACTTCATTTTATATCACAGGGCAATAGCTTGGACAACAGAACTGAAAAACATGCATGGAGGCCACTGTCACAGCCTAGGCAGGAAACGATGAAAGGCTGAACTAGAGTAGTGGGAGTCACATGAAGGCGGGCTTAAGCCAGAGAGAGGTTCCCAAACTTTCTAGACACAGCACGCTGAGTGTCTCAGTAATTTTTTCATAGCACCCCAGACCAAAAGAACACCCCAAAATTAAGCAGTTAGGGCCAACAATGTATAAAGTCCTTGTGTCCTAAAACTTTAGTGCCTGCTGGGCCCTGTGTAACTCCTCCAACGCTGCAATCGGTTGAACATCATCACCCTTATTTCTTCTGTAACGATTTTGTGTGATGTTGGCTTTTCATCTCAGGAACCACTAAAATACAGCTCCACAAAGATATGAGGTCATAGAAAGGAATGAAATGATCCGATGTTGAAACTGTGAATATCTCCAGCTAGCAGTTCACAGGATGTCTGACAGATGTTTCCCTTGAAAATCAAAAACATCCCATGATGCCCCTGTGAGTTTGCTGCAATGTCCTGTGGTGCCTCAGTGCAGTTTGGGAACTGTGGATATCAGCCATATTGACGAAGTAAGAATCAGGCTGGCTTGAAAACTGACTGGATGTGCAGAGATAAAGGTCTCCCAGATCTCAAGCTCAGAGTTCTGGGGGATAGTGGGGCCAGCAAGAGACAGAACACACAGAAGGGGAAGACCAGGCTGCAAAGTCTTTGGGGGTAACAATGCAAAGGGTAGAAATGATTCCAAATACGGTCTATCTACAAACATTCGGGAATATTCTCATTTTGTTTGAGAATTTTACAGAGAATGAATGAAACCTCATACCCAGAGATTCTTAGAGCCAAATGGAATAGAAAAACATCCTGAAACCACATGACAGAAAATTTTTTCTAGTCTCACACTACTGCATGATGCTCCAATTTTAAAGTAAATGAAGGTAAGCACATGTAAAGTCCCTCTTTATCCCTTTTAAAAGAAAAATTGCTACATATTTTAAATACTGCTATTCAGGTGCTGACTCTTCCTGTTATTTTGCTACAAGTGAGAATGAGAAAAGCAACGTATTCCATTTTAGGAAAGGTTTTAATGAAGGGGAGGAATAAGTTCAATTCATGGCTAAAATGAAATACATCCACAGAACTACCCAGGATGTCTATGTTAACGCCATACCAATATTACTCCTATAAATCATTTTGCCTTTTAAAGTTTCTATGACCAAATCTGTTCCTGAATCACCCAGACTACAGATATGCGAGTATAATTCGGATGTGTCAGTGATGAGTGGTTAGGATGAATACATTAACTAAACAAGCATTTGAAGCAACAACTCTATCCTGGGTAGTAAAATGTTAGTTTTACTCAAGTTGGCTCTGACTGTTAACACCAACCACACAGTCCTAACACCTTTGCTAGCCCTCAGAATGGCAGGCAACACAGGGCCTAGCCTGGGCATCCCAAAATGTCCACAGGCAGCCGAGTCACTTCTGAAAACCACCACAAGTTTGTTCTGGCTCACAAGACAGGAGTTCGGTACCTTGTAAAATGTGGGTGGGATGAGATGGGGGAACAGAAGATGCTATTCCTTGGGCTGCTTCAGACCCACTCACCACTGTGACTGTAAAACAATACTTTCAGACTCTCCATGGGAGGCAAAACTGGGCTACTCTGAGGGCAGCACTCTCAGTCAGTGCCATGGAAAAGTCGCATCCTTAAAAGACAGAAGGATGCTCACAGTAGGACAGGGAGAGTTAATGACCATTGAAGACAAGTCAACAATCAGGAAGCAGTCAATACTCAAAAGAGAAAGCCCAACAATACATTCCTGCAGCACTCAGCTTCCCAACAGATGTAGATATTTCACTGTGAGCCAAGAGAAAATTAAATTTAAAATGAGGGACCCCACCTCGTGAGAAGTACCCAAGAATACTCACCAAGACACTTGAAAGGAATCACAATGTGGCTCTTGCACTGCTTTTTGTCCCTCCAGCACCAATTGTCCACACTGACTGGTTGGTTGGCTTCCATCACATTATTGATCTGTAGTTCTGGATACATCTGCAAGGGAAAAGAGCACACCCACAATCAAATGACTTGGTCCAGAATAAAGGGACATTCACTCGCAAGTGAGGATGAATATCTATATTCAACTCAGCGTCACCATTACCCTATATAAATCTCAAGTTCCACTCTGCTGTCCTGGCTCCAGATAAACTCTTCAAGTAAAAAGATAATGTAAAGAGATGGCCAACAGGCATATGAAAAAATGTTCAACCTCACTAATCATTAGAGAAATTCAAATAAAAACCACAATGAGATACCACCTCACTCCAGTCAGAATGGCTATCATCAATCAAACAACAAGTGCTGGCCAGGTCGTGGGAACACTGGTGCACTGTTGGTGGGACTGCAGATTGGTGCAGCCATCTGGAAATCAGTATGCAGGTATCTCAAAAAACTGGAAATGGAACTACTGTATGACCCAGCAATTCCACTCTTAGGTATTTGTTCAAAAAAACACAAGACACTAATTCGAAAAAATATATGCACCCCTATGTTCATTGCAGCGCTATTTACAATAGCCAAACTTATAAACCAAAATGCCCAACGGTAGATGACTGGATTAAGAAACTGTGGTGCATTTACACAATGGAGTATTACTCAGCTATAAAGAAGAATGAGATCGTACCACTTGCAACGATATGGATGGATCTAGAGAACATTATGCTAAGTGAAATAAGTCAGTCAGAGAAAGATAAATGCCATATGACCTCACTTATATGTGGAATCTAAAGAACTGAATAGACGAGCAAAGTAAACAGAAATAGTCTCAGAGACACAGAGGAAAAACTGAGGGCTGCTAGATGGGAGGGGGGTGGGGATGAGGGAGAAGGGGAAGGGACGAGACAACATAAATTGGTAACTACAATATTGCCACAGGGATATGAAAGACAGTTCAGGGAATATAATTAATAATGTTGTAAATATTTTTTAGGGGGTCAGGTGGCCTCATGTCTTGTTAGGGAGACCATTTCATGGACAGCACAGAGGCCTGACCACTGCACTGTACATCTGAAACTGCCATTGAATAATATTATATGTCAACTATAATTTAATATATATGTATATAGTCACAGGATGTGGCGTATAGTGTGGGAAATGGAGTCAATAGAATTATAATAGATATTTATCATATCAGGGGGTGGGGGGGTGCAGTGGGAGGGGGGAGGGGGACTGTCACTTTGTGAGGGGTGAAAAGTATAACTATTGCGTTGTTTTGTACACCTAAAACTATTAATAAAAAATAAATATAAATAAATAAAGCAATGAAGAAAAAAAAGAATGTAAAGATTAGTTTTCTTCTGACAAGCAGATTTCTGACTACTTCTAATGTATTCTCTTGAAAAAAGGAACCTTTAAGGACATACAAACGCTGCAAGCTTTCAGCTCAATAAATCTATTAGGTATCAAGGCCACTCGTAGGGTACGTGTAAGTAGCTGAGTTCATGAACTATTGGGTTGTCAGAAAAGTCATGACGTATTTTTGCAACGAAAAACAGAAAAAATACATCATGTCTTTTCCGACAACCCAATAAAACATAAAAGAGGCAAGTCTATGGAAATATCTGTTAATGAAATTATATAATAATGCTTCAGCCCTGGCCCAATATGTTAGTCTCGGTATGTAAGAAGTTTAAACATCTTATATCCTTTTCAAGGTCAAGTTTTGACCCAAACCAAGTTGAATCAGACCTGAGATGATCATTTACAGCAAGTGGAAAACACAAGCATATGCATGACATGTTTTGCTTCTTCACATCTTCCCATAAGAAGTGGGAAGCCAAGAGAACCAGGCTGTACCTCTGCGGTGCTTGTCAAGCTTCTGAAGTATTCCTTCTAAGAGAACTAAAGTTCACAGCACACACAGGCAAAGCCTTGGAGAATCTCCATCATATCATACACTTAGAAACAAAAGGCCCAGTCACTAGCAACTTGGTCTTAGGTCAAAAGGGAAGAATCATAGAATATCCATTTCTAAGGTAAATAGGTTCACATTTAACCCAGAAAAAAAGCGGTTTTAACTTTCTGGCAACACGCTTACCTCCTGACAGTACTGAAGAACTTCTTCTTTTGTTCCAAAGCAGCTCTTAGTGCCTGTTGGGTCAGGTTCCCATTTCCCAGTCTGAATGTTTACATGCATATTTAACTTTCCACAAAACATTGCAATCTGAGGCTCAGCAACAGCAAATCCTGTTCCAGCATTGGCTGCAAGAGCCTACCAAAGGGGAAGAAAACACAGGTTTAGTCCAAAAAGGCTGGCACGAGGGCATAGGCATTCAGAGGTTTGTGACAGTAGAACTGATCTTCAAAAACCTTCATTGTTTACTGTTTTTATCTTCATAAATAAGTCCTGCTAGAAGCTGCGCCAGAATAAAAATGACCATTGGACATACAGGATCAAAGCGAAAGGGCAGTGGGAAATCTAACCGCTACTCCCCATCTGGATACTTCCAGGTTAGGAACCTATAATCCAACTATGGTCTCTTCTAATACAAGCAAATCTACTTTCCATTCCTTAATATATCAAACTATGAAAGTATAGAATGGGTAAAGTTCCAGGAAATTTTACTCAATTCATTCCCACAACAAAATTTTACTGAGCAGCTATTATTATGCAAAGTAACAAGCTAAATGCTTACAGAAGGGTAAGTAAAAAGTTATGGCCCCTGCTCTCATGGGGCTTATGGTCTAGTGCAGGAGACAATATTCACACCAAAAAAGTGTGACCACATTTCCGGACATCTTAAGAAGGAAAAGAACACAGTGGTGAAGATGCATATAAAAAGGGAATCTGCTTTAGGCTTGGTAAGGTGATCAAGGAAGCTTCCAGAAGAGAGTGGCACTTGAGTAGAGCTTTGAGCATATGTGGAGAGAAGGTGGGGTAGAGAAGGGGAGGAGAGGCATGCAGGGACGAGACTAGACAGTCTGTAGACCAAGAAAGGATTTTAATCTTTATCACTAGAAGTGTGGAGAGGTTTAAGCCCAAAGCTAGTATTTTCAAAATGTAGCTCTTACGCTTTCTCTAGTTGCAGGGTGAAGAACAGACTGGAAGGAAACATGCAGGAGAATGGCTCAGGACGCCAGAGTTGCAGAGTCCTAGAGAGAGATACTGGTAGCTTGAGCTAAGGCAGGGTGGGTGGTGGAGAGACCGATTCAAGACATCACAGAGATCATGGATTAGCTAGGGGGATGAGGAAGAGGAAGATGTCAAGTCTGGTTTTGATGGTGTCAGTCATGGCAACAGAATACTGAAGGATTTCATGAACAATTTTATCTGTGTTAGGTAAAAATAATCAACACACAAAGGCTTTCTTTGGCTAGTATTCGCTTCTCTGAGAAAGAGCGTAGCTATTAACAGGTCACAAGTTACAGGTGAGAAATAACATCTAGGCATGATGACACAAGGCTCCTGCAAGGTCTCGCACTAGAAAAAACACAGGCATCCCAGCATCTAGAGATATGCCAACACTGATGGTTGCGTTCACTGTGGAGTTTTGTGGTCTTGCCTAATATAAAGGTTCTTTCAAAATAAAAATTAAACAGCTGTTTTTAAATGTTAAAATTTGAGAAGGGGGGTAGGGTTAGACTGTATGGTCACTTATATTGTTCTTTTTAAAAAGAGCAATGAGGGCCGGCCGAGTGGCGCGATGGTTAAGAACTCGCTTGGGATGCCAGCGGGCCCCGGTTCGGATCCCACATATGAGGGCCAGTGACACTGCCCTCCACAGCTAAGATGCTGAACAACAGCTCAACC